TGATACAAGTCTATGCGGTTACCATTATTCGGCAAGGCAGTTCAATGAAGATGAAATCTGAAATGCACATTACTCTAATAAAACAATTTGTCTGTTAAGTATTTATTCCAAAGAAGCGACAATCGATTATTCCTTATCGTAACTATTTATCGATACCGTGAATATCGACGCCCATTGTGGGAGGAATTCGATTTGCATTCACGTTGTAAGAGTATATTTGGGTTGTAAACTGTACCACACCCAAACCTGGACTACCACACCTTTTCTAAAACAAAAAGAAACACGTCTGGCAACAGGTCCTCCTCGTTCTTGCCCCTGCCACCAAGAAGAAGCAACACTTCTGGCTTGTCCCTCTGCTTGCAACAACACGACATATAACTTTCCAGTCACGAACCCTCTAAGATTAAAGACATCAATTTATGTTGATCTGACATCGAAACATAAAACTAACAGACAAGTGTTTTAATATATTTTTAATGAGTAGGACTGCTGTTAACTAACCGCATAATCTTTCAACGACAATATATTCCCTGATCAAGATATTATCCACTTTTATGGAACCGGAAGTTTCATGTTAACATTTTATGGAAAAAAAAGCGACGAACAAGTTTCATGCTACGGACGAGATATGTCGGACCACACTGAATTGAAAAGTAATGCGGATGGAAGCGGTCGTGACATATTTTAAAGCGCTATTCCAGCATTTATCTGGAGAGAGAACATGGGAAAGAGAAAACATAAGACTATCTGATGTCCGACCCAAGGTCCGTATCCACGATCACTAGAATAAGCACGAATTTCAACTCGGAAGAAAGAATTGTTCGATCAACGACCGCCTCTCTGAAAAGTCTTAGCTGAAGATTGCAAGCACGATTCGGAAAGTATTTTGGAATTTTTCGCAAGATCCGCGTTTCTTTTAATTTGATCGATTAATACCATACAATTTGTGTGGGATAAGAATTGAGACTTGTTCTTAAGAAAGTCGCTGGTAGCTGTAGAAAGTAGGCATATATCTGCTCATCAAGGTCTGGTATAGCAACGACATTAAAGTTCCCTGCAAACTAACCCACCAAGTGCCTCTGAAACACTGGTAAACGTTTGCCAGAGTACACGGCGCAACGACCCAGGGGACAGCCATCTTAAGACAAAACTGGTAGCATGTTTTAATTACACAGGTTGATATACAGCGTTTGAAAAATGTACGCGGGCCGCGTGTTACGAACCTTCTGGATTTTTCGACTAAAATTTTGTGTTTCTCCTATGCGTGATCCATGCCCAATGCATTGTATTCTCCTTTATAACCCTTATTAATATTCGTCTCTCTATCGCTTTATTCCAGTCCCCTTACAACGCGACAGTCCAACCAGCACACCCACGTGACCCAAGGACCGGAACACGACACAGAACGTGCAGATATTCCCTATCAGGAAAAATACTATCGGATGAAAAGTGATTTGGGGGGGGGGGGGGGGGGCAGTATCAGAGAATGTTCAGTGGGAAAACATGTCGATGTACGAGAGACATAGCTGTCTTGTTGAAGGACGATTGGGGAATTAGGAAGGTCACTGTTGGAGTACTGACCTTGATTTCAAGGTCATTGGACAGAAGTAAGCAACCTTCCGTCCAGACTTGCTCAGATTCTGCTGAGACTTGCAGTCAGTTCTGACATTAAAAGTACCGTTGCAAACATTTTAATGAAATAAATACAAAGCAACAATATCTGACAGGACTAGTATTTGTTCTGTTTGGACACTGACGACCGTTCAGAGGAAATGATTTTAAATTCGACAAAAAAAAAGTCTAGCGAAATGGTTAAAACGGGGGTCGAAATGTTAACACGGAAGGGTGTTAACAATTCGATGCGTCTTCTCGGTCCACTTGGTTAAAACTCTGCAGAGTTTAACCAAGTGACGGGGCTGCTGGCCCGAGAAGATCTTATTTCCCACTGTCCTCAGCGAACACGGGCCTATTTGTGGGTTCCCCCACTCCTTAAAGACGAATTATGGTACAGTACCTCACAACAAAAAACTGATACTTCTACAGTCTTTCCAAGTTCATCAAAAGCGATCATCCAACGCCAAATACCTACTACAGTCGATACAGCGTCGTTAAGTAACCTAAACTTATATTAAATAAGTCTCTGGTAGCAGACCTCTAATATCAGACCTTTAGACACCACGCCTAATCCACAAAGCGCTCAAAATTTGTGTTTCTAATATCAAAGCAATCCAAAGAGAGGCTTCGTGGCCCGTTCTAACATCAACGTTTGCCAGCAGAAAGTTATTTCAGGGCGATGATGGAGGCAGTTCGCACCTCTGAAACGTCGATCAATTACTATCGATGGCGCGGGCTCTGACCAATAGCCTCGTCGTCTCTTCGTGTCTATGATGATGGCTTTGCCCTTAAAACACCTAATAGTGGGTCGCGTGCCACTGGCGTCAAACAGCGCCCAATTCAACCTTGCGATAGATTGAACCACCTTGCATAACAGCCTGCCGATTTCATAATCAGACACCGCACAGCTCTAATCTGATCTGGCATTTGAGAATCTGAGGTCTTTCGTCGGGGTCAGACCTTCATTCGCGGAATTAGAGCTCCGGTAAAACGTCTGTATTAAAGCCGACAATCTAGATAATATTAAAACGAGACCGAAGTGTCCCCTTGTGGTCTGCTATGTAAATAGACCATGTATGATTTGAGGTTCACATGGCCGTGAGTCTAAAGACGTCTGTCTTCCGGGTTGTAGAGCCGTGTAGTCTGGTAGAAGTTTACCATCCATCATCACGCGAGACGAGTCACCACTCATCGCCCTGATGATGGAGGTTGCAAGGACCTCTGAAACTTTGGTAAACTCCTACCAGAGTACACGGCGCCACAACCCAGAAGACAGCCGTGGGATCGCCCTGATGATGGAAGCAGTAAGTTTATACGAAACGTCTTTAAGTGTCTACCAGACTACAGGACGCAACATTACAGAATCTGAAATCACACGACGTTAGGGGACTAATCCGTGCTGGGTCAGTATAATCAGTCGGACATAACTGATTTTGCCATTAAGGTGATAGATCTTGCCACAAAGGCCTGTCTCTGTGGCACTACACAAAGACTCGACTCCAAATGCCAAGGCCGACGACAGCCAAGAACTGGGTGCGGTGTGGCGAAATGCTTTTGAAAACTATTCCTCGTCATTTTATTTCGAACTTTCAACATTTCCAATCGACCAGCATAAAATGTCAATTCTACAACAGAAAACAGAATCCGAAGACGTAAACCTGACAAGAACAGTTACTAGATAAAATTTTAAACTTGTTCTACGCTTAGTAACAAGAATATTAAGAAGTGTGGGGGCGTGGAGGTACTACTCCACGCATTTTTGACCTCGGCGCGAAATACAGATCAGCGGTTTGTTTCGAGCTTAAGTTGACATTACTGCAAGAGAATTCATTGCCAGAACCCATTGGCGGGCCCCATAGCAACAAGGAGAAGCGAGAACGAAGTTTTGCAAGGACTGCTGGAAAAAATATAATTAAATACAGACATAAGCGCTCGGAACGTCACAGAACCGTCTTGGTTCAAATTATCTGACTTTCTGATGTCCTCCTGACCTAATCTCGGCCGTAAACTTGAAGATACTCGATGATGACGTGGTTTCTCGATTCACGTAAACCAGGGGTTCTCAACTTGAGGGTCGCCGAAATAATTTGTGCGACCCGCGCACGTTTATATAATATTATGTCACGCTGTGTAAATAAAAAAAAATTGTGATGCCTGAATCAAACCCAGTATTAAATTTTAAGCGAGTAACTCAAAAATTTCATAAACAAAATTATTGAGTCGTGTGTGAACCTGTTTGATATTGAATTTTTGAGATGAGGTTCGCACGGCGGAGAATATTGACCGTAGCTGCTTACCAACGTTTAAGAAGAATGTATCTCCTCCATCTTCAAGGTAAAATCTTGGTAACCATCTAAAAGACCACAAAGAGATTCAACCCAGACGAACATACGACAAGCACAGTAGATTTTTTTTTTAAAAAAAACCTTTCAACAAAATATCACCACACATAATTCGACCCGTGAATCAAAAAAGGGCGAATGTGGCGACGGATTTTAATAGGTTGAGAACCCCTGACTTAGTACGCCGACGTGACGAAACGTCCTTCGTGGACAGTTTTTTCTTCTGCAACTGTGACGTCAACAAGTGTGAAGTGACGTTAACAAGTGCCCCACACTCACGCCACGCGTATGCCAAATGTGGTCTTTGCACTCGTTAACGTAGAAGCCAAAGCGGGGAAAGTTTCCATCGGTCGCCGTACGAAAACTGCTTGTTACTATGACAATATCTTTGAACATACCCGCTGACTAATTCCTCACAGTGATCACTTTATGCATTAAACGTTTGTCAAGTCACGAAGCAGCGATGGACAATGAACAATCTCTGCGCTAAAGAATCGACTGTGGTCAAATAGAACATCCAGCGAAATCGCAACGATTTCGGTGACGAAACGGATTAATACCCCTCTATATTCACCTCGGGCAAAGAATGCTGTCCCAACTAAGTTATTTTATTCCTTCCTACCTTTCTTTTTCTCCCTCCTTATTAACTTTTCTTCTTTCTTTTGTTTGACTGCCGACTGCCGCTGTTCCCACCAACACCATCTAGTACACATTCATAGTACTACATAGTAACTGTCAGACATGAAGCTTTCACACCGCACTCTCGCCATCTGTCAGAAGAAAAAAGAACGCATAGATCGTCAACAGAATGAAATACACGTGATTGGTAGACGCGACAGACTATAGCTGGACAGTCAGTGCTAGAAGAATTAATACATGGCTAGAATACGCAAGGCTAGCCTAAAATATGTTAGGGATGACTGAGTGGAAAATGCTAGGCTAGTCTAGAAGAGGGCAGACTAGCCTAGAACTGGGCAGGCTAAGCTAGATGAAAACATATTTCTCCAAGGAACAAGATTTTGCATTATAAACGAAAACAGAGAAGATACTGATTTTCCTGTATTTAATAGTACCGTTAACAGGATTGTGGTTTGGAGAGTCGAAACACAAGTGTCAACATATAAATACATCATGTTCAACGCTCACATCACTCACTGGCATCACTGTTTACAAAGAACCACAAACCTGTCAAATTTTCAACATGCCACAACACATTCATTAACATTAAAATTCTTTATAAATATAAAATATCCTCTTTTACAAAATCTAATGAATAAACAGACAAAGCTGTATATTATTACAGAAAATATGTCTCATTAATTAAAAAATCTTTGACTCTTGGTCTACACATAAATTAAGAAAAGTTGGCTATACATATTTAAAATATATTTATATAATATACGTATGTACTAATGTAAGTTAAAAATCACTAATACTAGACCAGGAGAAATAATAAACACAGCAATACAAGAATACAGTACGAAACTGTCCTTTGGTCCCATCAGTGTACTGGCATTGGACAGAATAATACAAGAAGTGTCCATATTCACAAAAAATGCATTCAACAACTTACCATCAGCATGTAGGTGATATATGAATTGCTTCAGTGTGAAATTTGGAACAAAATGTTTCTTGATTACTTGTTAACATGACTGAGTTTGCAGCAGTTACACAGAGGAAAAATTCTCTGTCCAAGTCAGGGACTGAACCCCAGTCATCCAGTCCATAGTCAGTCACTAAACTGACTGAGATATCCTGAATGACACCAATTACAAAAAGTAAAAATTCTAATAAAATTCAATGTTTCAGAGACTGACCTTCCTGAGTTCTTACATGAATACAGCGAATTTTAATTTTTTTAATTTTTATACATACTGTAATTTAAATAACAGGCAAGGGATGATGTTAAAATAAAATATAATAACAGAACTTAAAATACCTGGCACAACGTTTAAAATCTGTATGCTGTATGTACCTACTGGGGTAAAATATGAAACCATGATTTAGGCAAGATCCGAAAGCAGAAACATAACAAAAATCGGTAAAACAAAGTAGAAAGTGGTATGGGCGCATGTTCCGCTGATGGCATAAAATATAAGAATGATAAATAAAGGCAGGAAGACGTACTGAAACATCCATATTTCACCCAAAAAAACACCAAGCTGACTAAGTTGTCTTTAGATGTTTAGTTACCGTCAAGAAATATTTCTCAACAAACTTACAAAAAAACTCTTCTCTTATGTCCACATACCTGTGAATGGTATGTCATACGAACACCATTAAATAAAAACCTAAACCTATATGGCAGGGTGTTCAAGAATTGGTAACATAAAACACTACTACTTATTTGTGTGGATCATGTTAAACTGTAGTTACAACACTAATAAAGCATTACCAGACAAGGCTACGAGTTTTTCCACTCCCTTCGACAACCAACCGTATTTTTGTAGCAGAAGCTAATAAAATCAACTGGCAAGCACATCTTTAGCTTCAGCTTAAATGTACGAAAACTTAAACAAACAAATTATTTTGGCCACATTTGCAGCTGGTGTTGAAACGTCATTGAAATTCATCAGTTTATACTAACCTTAAGTAATATCATAAATATGTACCTACAGAGACAAATTGTCTTCCAAAACATTATGAATTTTCTTGCATACCTCAACAGAGAAATCAGGGAGCGAAAGAAAAACTAAAGTTATACAACCTCTGATTTAAATACATAATCACATCAATATAAAAATTATATATTTAATACTACTTTGAAACTTTGGTTAGATTTTGGACATATAAACACCACAATTCTATAACAAAAAAGCCAAAAAGTAAAGGCAACGTTAATTTTCATCAAACGTGATGTTGGCGGTATTAAACACTATGCATCTAGCTGAATTTCATTCTCCTCTGAGTAGTAATATCATACTGTGATACGTTTAATACGGCTGCTCCAAGACATAATTTACTACTGAAGACTATTGACACGTGATTAAATATTTGTGGCCAGCGTGTGTGAGTGAAAAAAATTAGAAATTTATGAAAAAATAGTTCAATAATTATTGTATGGGCCAAAGGAAATTTTACAAATAGGCGGAAAGATTTAAAGGCCAGAAGATGAATGTTGATTGCGCATTTTGGGAACCTGAGACTTGAGGCTGGCAAGGCACTGAAGATTTCAATTTTGGTCTTCTGGGTTGTGACTCCACATGATCTTGTAGATGCCTCTGGGGGATGCTGGTAACCACCAAAAAGATAACATGGAATTGCAACCCAGAAAACTGACACCAACAAATTCTGGGTGAACAATAAAATATACTGAGATTAAGAAGCAGATTCATTGGCGTATCTGGAACGACAGAAGAATCAGCCTTGACAAAACTGCATCTGAAATGCGCACCAATTACGGAAATGAGCAGCGCAAGAACTGCACAATGCTCAACTGGAACCACTTTATTCTGATACAACTACAAAGATTCGAGATCGTTAGACCAAGTGCATAGAAAACGTGGTCGATTACATTAAAAATTAATATAACTCTTAACCATCGTGCGATTAGTTTGCTGAAACCTTAATTACATTGCCTTTAATTTTTGAATTACCTTGAAATCTTCAAAGACACAAACACCACAAATGAACACATATATTTGTGTCCACAAGGGTTTATTTACAAATGATTATATATAAGAAGTATCTACTTATATAACATATCTCGCACATTCTCGAAGTTTTACTCAAAATACTGCTGAGAACATTCTCAACAGCAAAGACCGCATATTTGTGACATTTAAAAGAATAATACAATTCACGTACATAGTTGTATATTTTGATGTATACTTTGATCTGTGGATCCTCAGTTTCTGCGTTCTCACGTGCGTAGTTTACACCCTTAAGAATACCTCTTATTTACTTGTTGTTTCCTCGCATACAAAGTTATTTGATGCCTCTCTCAACCTCACTTTGTAGATTGTATATCTCATAGCTCACATGAAGACAAGCAATTAGTAGTGGGACACGGAGCTTATATAACACCATACCCGAATGTTCAAATAAATGCCTTTCTATGTTGATACAATGTTACTTTACTTTTAAATAACTAAAAATTACCACAATTACTGAGTTAACTATAGGAAAATTTTAACTCATAATCGACTCCTTATAAACATTACATTAATGTAGAAAATTTTGAAATTTGTGTTATGTATTTCCAGAAATGGAACTACCATATAAATCAAAGCATGCACGTGGAAACACACCAAATGACACAGGCTAGCCAACATAATAAAGGAACCAAGAGCTTCTCGAGATTTAGCAATTATTTTGAGGTTGCAATACCAGACCATTCACAAAAAAGACGAGAGAAAAAAAACCTGTGTACCTAATAATCTGGAGGGTATAATATGGTATAACAATGTCTTTCATATAAATAAATTCAGAAGGTACAGATTTGATTGTATTTAATAATACTGTCTTAAGAATGAGCTTTACAGTAGCATGGGCTGTCTTATAGAACACGAAATTACTTTTTTCCTAAACTGATACTACGAAAACTTTTTTTTTTTTAAATAAATAAACAGTGGTCAGGTTGCTGTTACTGCCTGGTAAATATAGAAATGAAGCACTTTACCTTTAGGTTAATGATACAGAAACTGAACTTTGCAGTCTGATGTCATGGCTGTGCTGGATATGATGTAAGCAGCTTCACCGAGTCTTGAAATGTTTCACAAACCTAGCATCTCAATATTTTGATTACACAAGGGTCTAACAAAACGGGGGCTTGAGACCTGGATTCTTTGGTGGTGGTGTTGGAGGCGGTTCCTTCTCAACAGGCTCTGGAGGTGGCGGCTGTGAACAAAATCATGAAATGATTTCATTCAACCCGTGACTTCAGGTCACATACAGCTTGGATGTTGCTTGTTTAACTTCATTATGTGTATTGTAGGGTAAATAAATTGCCTGGTGAGGGTTCAACCGCTTTGCTGTAATGATAAAACGTACTTTATCTCATCTCAGTTTTCAACTACTTCATAAAAATATTCTGCGTGTATTTTGCAACAGTTACGCTTATCACTTGATAGAAAATTGTCCCTTCTTGGATAAATTACAGAAAATGATAAAAATATTCAAGTAGACCGTAGTCCATTAATGTCTCTGTTTTTCATTTTCATTGCTGCAATAAATTTCATTTTAACAGATATAATTTTACACTGATTTTCAGAGAAATATTTTGATGAAGGTAGATCTCCATTCAACCCACATTTTTTCGGCAGGTTTCAATGCATTATAAATTAATACAGAGACGTGCGCCGCACCTTATTTCTGACTCGAGGAGTGGTGGGTGGTCGCAGAGAATCAGATACTAAGGAGTCCGTTTCATCTGGAAGATTGCAATAGTCAGCATCTCTTGCTTTTTGAGGCAAAGGGGGAGGAATCATATCTTCCTCACTTGCTGTTGAGTCTGTGGTTCCTGAAAGAAAAAGGAACGGGATCTGTGATATTACAATCAAAACCGGATCTTACGCAATTCCTATATCAGTGAGATTTGAAGTTCTCATAGTGGAATGTATGATGATGGCTGTCTTCTGGGTTGTTTCACTGTGTCATCTGGTAAAAAATTACTTAAGTTTCAGATATGCATGCTGCTTACATCATCAGGGCGATAAGTAAGCCACACACAAGGAACTAATCCCTTGCACATGGCTTATTCAGCACACTGATGATGGAGGACACAAGAATCTCTAAAATGTTGGTGAACCTCTATCAGATAACACAGCACAAGAATCCAAAACGCAGCTATCTTGATTCCTCTCCTACTGGACCAAATTCTAATACGTTAATCATATGGCCCCAAATGCTATGGTACGGACATCTGCATGTCATGATGAGATGAATCTACAGAATAGATGTGACAGAAATAAGCCTAACCTATGGAGTCACGGTTATTGCATGGAGTAGTGCTGCTTCCATTGAACCTTGCATTCAGAACAGAAGTGGTGTTGAATCGACTTGATGCCTGGAACTGTCCGCTTGATGGGCGACTCATACGACGTTCACGTTCAACTTCTGACCGCAATGGGCGCTTTGGTGTTAACTTAAAAGAATTATAGAAAAATACGTAATCAAAAAATTTAGTATTTTGTATCATTTTCAAAAGGAAGGAGAACAGGCTCTGTTGTGTGCCCCACACTAATACAGAGACTCCAGTTTATCATGACACTGATGACCTTGAAATATGAGATCAACAGGCTAGTTGCTTCTTCCTGGGAAACTAACCATAAATATCTTGCTGGCTCAGACCTGTGCACAGTCATTCTTTGAACAGTGATTGTGTGTATGCTTGCGTGCTGTGAAACAACAGAAAATAAAGTGTTGAACAAAGAGTATTTATAAACAAAACGTTTTTAAGTCCTGAAGAAAATGTTGAAGAAAGTTGTATATAGAACTTCCTGAAAGCACAGAGGCTTCCAGTCGCCCTCAGTGGACTAGTGGTTAGCGTGCTCGCCACTGAACCCAAAATACCTACATTTGTTAGTTATATTATACTTCATACTTACCTCTTGCCGCAGTTCGAACACGGGCGTGGTGGCCACAGAAGTGAATATCGGAGGTGATAGCTCCTGTTCTGGTGTGGTGTACCACTGACTAGTAGATGTGGAAGACTGAATAGATGACGATGACTCACGATCATTCTTGCGTGACAACCGCCTCTTACTTTCCTTGCTTGACTTATCTCGCTTAGATGTCCCTTTAAGTGATGGAGAACTTGATGTCTTAGAAAACATAGACTGTGATCTCGAGGACACCAAAGGGGATCCAATGCTGTGTTGTTTGCTTGGAGAATTGCCATAATGAGACACAGTGGCCCTGGAGGCAAATCAGAACATATGCGTAGCTACAGTCAGTTTTAATTTTAACAAATCTGTAATGATTCAAGTCAACACATATAACTGTAATATTCATTCCAATATTTCTGATGCACGAAAGAGTATTTATTTATAACAAATATACTGGTATGACTATTTCATTGCAGAGGTTATGTTACTTTACTTTGTTCTTCTTAAAAGTAATCGTTTAGCATACTAAAGTTAAATATTATTAATATACTGTATACATTTCTGTATAAGTTCAAATAAAAGAATAAGTATAAATATAATAAAAAACAATATACAACAATAAAACACAGAAGCATGCAGACTAATACGTAAAAGACCAATCTGATACAGTGCATGTGCCATGTCACCAAAACTTGACAAATAGTAACAAAACTCAATCACATTAACAGTTTGGAGGTATAACCAAGACGCACTGTCTCTATCAACAGTTGAGTTCTTCAGCATGGTTCGGGGGTTCTGTAATGATTCAGGTAAAAGACTTTTATGCACCAAGCATAAAAAATTAACTTAGTCCTAAGAAAGTATGTGTGTACAAATCCAATCTTTAATCTAATAATTTTACATTTATAATTTTACACAACAATGCACACGATTCCTAGAACTTTAAAAGATAGTTAAATATTTTTTGTGCATTCCAAAATAACCAAATAAAAATAGAAATGATGCAAAAATAATCATCACAGCTTAAATACGTCTCAAGGCACACATTCTTATAACAAAAAGGTAAATAAAAATAAAGTCAAGGGTAAAAATAATATTTACACTCATTAACAGAATTTAATTTGTAGCAATAACTCACTTACTCTCAAATCATCCAATGCTTAAACCACGTACATGCTAATGGAGAAGGAAAAGAATATAAAATTATTCAATATGACAAGTCTGACATGAAGTTTCCACATTTCTGTTTGACAATAGGTTCATGCTCTAAATTCCAAGCGACTGAATGCAACAAGCCAAGCGGTATTCCATCTGACTTCTCTTCATCAGTTTTTATTTTCATGTGAAGTCAAGAGCTAGATGTCTATGAACAGATATTTTTCCACATATAATTAACTTATTTAAAATTTTTGAAGAATAATGAAATTATCATTAAGCAAAATGTGATGACACAAAAAGAACAGTCTACCATGAAGTGTGCCTATTACTACAGTACTGTTTGTTTGGCGTACCTCATATTTTTGAACAGTTCACACTACAACAAAGATGGTGAACCCCGGGATTAGAAAACCTGATAACCTGTTATAATAATTTTTTGACAAAAAATAAATTCTACTGATTACTGTAATACAGTGAAACCTCTATCTATCGTTCCCGGAACTATCGTTTTCCCGGATGCATCGTCCGTTTTGTTCGGTCCCGAATACATCCCATATAAAATAATGTTACATTTTCCCGCTTCTATCGTTCCTCGAACTATCGTTTTATCGCATCGATCGTTCAAAAATCGTAGTCCCGGCCCACAATTTTCCCGCAATGATCGTTCCTGAGAATTTAAAATGCTGGGTTTAGAGATAAATTAATAC